AGAGGAACATACCCCACAGCTGTAACTTCAGTGGGGTTTTGTTGGGCTTGGTGGGACAGAGGCAAGGGGCAGCGTGCAACGGGAGATGGGTGATGATCCAGCACCCAGAGCTCCAATTCAGTCCAACCTGGATAGGAGATAAAGCCCAGGGTTTAACGATAACAATCAATGCTAACTCCTCCCTGTCGCTGCCATTTAAAACTGGGGCTAAACCCAGTTTTTCAGGTCTGTTCTAGCTGAAAGAAGAATTCGAGGACACCCCAAGGGGGTCACTGGGGACTCCTCAGGGCTGCTGAACTTCTCCTTCTGTCCCCAGGACTCAGGGGCTTGATGATGTCGGTGATGATCGCAGCTCTCATGTCCTCCCTGACTTCCATCTTCAACAGTGCCAGCACCATCTTCACCATGGACCTCTGGAAGCACTTCCGTCCTCGGTGCTCCGAGTGGGAGCTCATGATTGTTGGCAGGTACAGAGAGCTACAACATGAGCATTATAGCAGAGCCTCAGCATCAGGGACACACCTGGGCACACCCCAGGGCCCGCTGCCCCTATACACATGTAGTAGCTTCATACTGACCACGCTTGGTGGGGTGGTTACCAGAGGTCTCAGCTGGACCCTTGCATGCTGAGCAATCGGAAAAGCACAGCCTGAGCTAAGCCTAATGGCACCTTTCTCTTGCCCAGGGTCTTTGTGCTGCTGCTCACCGTGGTCTCCATCCTGTGGATCCCTCTGGTTCAGGCTGGCCAGGGAGGGCAGCTCTTCATCTACATCCAGTCCATCAGCTCCTACCTGCAGCCCCCCGTGGCGATGGTGTTCATCCTGGGCTGCTTCTGGAAAAGAGCAAATGAAAAGGTAACAGCTCCGCTGTCCCTGTGGCCTCACTGCCCTCACAGGAGTCCTTTAGAACTCAAACCCACCTCCTGCTGGGGAAAGGAAGACACCCAGCCCTCCCCCCAGACATCCATCTCTGCTACAGCAGGGAGCGACTCCTGCTGCTTTCCAGGACCCCACTGGCACTTGAGGAGTGAGGTGGCTGCATTGCTCCGCTGCAGCATGTCCTTCGCACCTCCTGAAGCCTCTTAGGGGCTCGTTAGCCGTTGGCTTGTTTGTTACATGGACTAGAGAAGGCACAGCGAGCCCAGAGAGTGAAGGAGCCAGACCAAACGGCACCAGGAGTCCTAAGGCTCCAGTTTCTCCATAAAGACCGGGGCTGGGTAAAGGGTAAAGTCATCCCAAACCAGGCTTTGATCAGGCAGAGAGCAGCTGCCAGCCCCGCAGGTTAAGGCAACCATTAGGATACAAATACCAGTCTTGAGAGTCTCCTGGCATAGAGGACGTTATCCTTCCCCTCCACAGCAAAACTAATGACCCACCTGAGCCCACAGAGAGGTACCAGGCTCCTGAAACACCACCGGCAGACGCAGGTAGCAAGAGCAGAGAAGGAAGGAAAAGACCCTCTGAAAAGGCAGCCTCAGCTCAGCCTGTGTGCCAAGAACGAGGCTGGGTCCTCGTGGATACGCGCTCCTTGCTCCAGTAAAGCAGATCCTTCCTCTCCCAGGGCGCGTTCTGGGGCCTGGTGATCGGGCTGCTGCTGGGTGGCATCCGGCTGGTGCTGGACTTCATCTACCCAGAGCCCCGGTGCGGAGAGAGCGACCTGCGCCCGGGCGTGGTGAAGTACATGCACTACCTCTACTTCTCCATGGTCCTGGCCACCGTCTCCACGCTGACCGTGCTGGTCGTGAGCCTGCTCACAGAGCCCCCCTCGGAGGCAATGGTGCGTCACCCGTCGGGGTTCTTGTGTTATCTGTTAACAGTTTCCTGCATGCCCCACGCTACATCCATGGATATGGAATCCCGTGGGGATAAATAACCCAGAAATGCAAGGTTCTGTTCCGTACTGACAATCACACTTGCCATAACCTCTAACAACGACCCCTCCTCTGCTCCAGCACCCTGCTGCCACTTAGGTCCCATAAATCCAGAGTCCCACCTTGGAAACTGGTCAACGGTAGATGCTACAAAGAGCTGCTCTTAAGCTCAAACATGTGTGTTTAACCATGACAAATTAGCTTTTTTCCCTCTCTTTCCCAAGAAATTCCAGCTTCTGGGTCATCTTTATCAACTCTCTTACTAATTTAGTGAGGAAGCCTTTTTCCTCACAGGAAAAGAGAACTCAAGGGCAGAGAGAAACTTCCCCTGGAACAGGTTTGTGCCAGTTCGACTGCTTTCAGTAGATAGAATGAGGCTACAGAGAACCATCAGTAGGAGGAAGGAGGGCCAGAAACCAAAGGGCCAACGCATCCTCTTGCTCGGAGACAGCACTAAGCTGGCACCTTTCTGAACCTCCTCTGAGAGGGAGAATGCCCACGGAGGCGCGTGGTCAGCTCGAGAGCCCACCTCCCTCCCAGCAGCAGCTTTAACTCATCTCCAACCTGAACCTTTCCAGCTTCCCGTTGTGCTCCTCTGTTCCTTTACCCTATCCTTGACATTGAGAGCTTCCCTCTTTCATGAGTCTTTTATATATCTGAAGAAAATTACCCTACCTCCCGCCTGTCTTCTCCCAACAACCCCAGTTCTTTTGAGTCATTCCTCTCTGGCCACAATACCCGTTCGTTTTGCTCACTGACCCGCTCTCAGTCTGCATCCAGTGATGGTCCCGTGCAGAAATGCCTCCTCCTTGGTTAAAGACAGAACAACAGCATCCTCCAGAGAGTAGCTTGCAGCCAACTGTCGTGTTCCAGACCCAACTAAACCCACCACGCTGATGGTAGCCACCACTTCTGTAGTTAACCAACTGAGCGCTTGGCTGTTCCCCTGCCCCAGCCGAGCAGGAGAACAGGGTTTGGCCCCTCTAAGTATTCTCTCTACAGGCTCTGCTGCTGAGGCAGTCCTTTAAGCAACCACAAAGCAGTTTCCTTTAACACCGCTCTTCATGCCATCAGATAAGTCGGCTTACCTGGTTCACACGTGGGGATCTACCAGCCAAGACAGACCTAGCAGTCAGCCCTTCCCCTGATGCTGCCAAAGGAGTGTGTGAAGCTGAGCGCCCAGCTCTCCAGCTGGATATAAGCATTGCTTCTGAGAATAGTTCAGATGATAATAAATGTAAGTGCTCCAACGTCGTGCCCAGTAACACCTACCCTTAACCCCAGGCACTGTGTAAAGGCTTTGAAGACAAGAAACGTTAAACCCCTTCCTCTGCATTCAGTCACCTCAGGGCATGCTGAAAGTGACAGTTTTACCTCAGCAGCACTTTAGTTTCTCTTCCATCTCTTGCTGCCATTACATATGCTCGGAATGAAGGAGGAGCTGATGGGACACAGAAAGCCATGCCCGGTGCCCTGCGCTAGCTGCGGGCGCTGCCAGGAGGAGCGGCTGGCAAAGGGGAGGGTGGAGGCCAAGCAGAGCTCTTTTCATGGCGTTCCATTTCTGTTTTGCAGTGGTGGTTTCTGCTCGCCTCTAGCAGCAGGGAGACCGCAGAGGCCTGGGCGGAGAGCTTGACAGATCAGTGAAGGAGGATTTGCAGTGTTTAAAACTTGTACTTGTCGGTATTAGGTACAAACACGTGTAGCAACTCGCTGCGCCTCTTCCAGCGCTGAGCACCATCCCCTGGTGCCGCCAGGCTCGGGACACTGTTGATGTAGCTGCAGCTTTCGCTGCCGGTTCCTCTGATCTAGAAAAAGCTGTTGGGGAGATGAGTGAGTTACTGAGCCCTGGTGCTGGGGAGCCTCACGCCTCTGGGGCACGAGCGCTGTCTCCCCAGCTTTTAGTCACACACGTCCTAACCCACACCATTGCTGGGGAAACCCGCTTTACACGTGTGGAGTAACCCCTCATCGGGTGCTGAAGCCGCTGGGCACCGAGCAGCCACAGCTCAGCTTTTAGTCTTAGGCTCCTCTTACCGTTTCTTATGATGCTGGGAATAGAACTTCAGCTCAGTGCTCCAGGGAAGAGGAAAACTGGTCCTGCAGCCCCCAGAGGTGCTAACGGAAGGGCTCCCTACACCTCAGCGTAGCTAGCGTATGCGTTTAAAGAACACCGGTGCGTTTCAGCATCAAACCCCTTTGCACAGCAGCACTGGGATGTGTTCTGCTGGCGCGATTCACCCCTCACTGCTGGCTGTCTCCCCAGGTCCCACTAACAGCAGAGGGGACTCCAAGCTGCTCACCACCCTCCTGTGGCTCTGCGGGATGGAGCGCAAGCAGCCCAGCACCGAGAACACGGCACCGGTCAAACCCGAGCCGCTCCCCGGGGCTTGCCTAGAGGAGAAGCCGCTGGTGAAGCACGTCCTCAACATCAACCTGCTCCTGTGCGTGTGCGCCGGCATCTTCCTCTGGGCGTACTTCGCGTAGCACTCGCCTGCTTGACTCCAGATGGCAGCGACTAATGTTAATTGGTGTAAATAAGAATAATTAGCAGAGGGTCAATGTAATTGTTAATGCTTCCTAAATGTTCTTCCTTTATTTAAGAAGACAGACCGCGCTCCGTAGTCCTTTCCTTATTTCTAATGGGGGCCGGGCTGTGATAGGCACCGAGTGCTCGGCACCACCACTGTCAGACCTGAGCCTGCAACACGATGGGTGTAAAGAGAAGGGCAGAGAAAGGGTTGTTTGGTTGTTGCAAGTATTTAGGTACGCTGCTTGGGGTCAGAGCACTGCCTGGAGCTGGGCGGTCTGGATTCTCTTGATGCTTCTAGAACCACCTACCAGCACTTGGTTCCCCTGTGGCTCCACACCCTTGGGAGGTAACGCCTCCATGTGTCCCCTGTCGGGGCAGGGAGCTGTCACCGGGCACCCACGAGGGCTCTAAACCAGCCCAAACACCCGGGCTCCCGCACCCGTTCTGCCCCTGCTGCAGCCTGGGTCGGCGGCCACCCTGCCCCGGAGCCCCTTCCCCAGGGGCTGCGCCGGGGGATGCCCTGACCCCATCCGCACGTAACGGTAACAACGAGCGGGAGCGGCTCGGGCCGCCGGGGCTGCGCGGGGTCGGGCCGCGGCCATGGCGGAGGAGGCAGCGGCTCAGCCCCGGCCGGGCTCTGCGGAGCCGGCTCCGCTGGAGCGGCAGAACCTGCTGGCCGTGCGCAGGGAGCTGCGGGCCGGCGCCGCGGAGGTGGGGGCGCGGCGGGGCCGGGGCTGCCCCGGGGAGGGGGGGGGCGGCTCGGTGCGAACCGGACCCCGCTCCCCTGCGCTCCGCTCCGCGCAGGGCCGGGTCCCGCTCCACAGGCTCCTGGTGCTCGCCCGCATGGGCCAGGGGGCGGCGGCGGCGGCGGTCGCAGGTGGGTGCCGGGGTCGGAGCACGGCTCCAGGGCAGGGCCCCGGCCCGCACCTCCCGTCTGGCGTTCACCGCCGTGTCTTGGGACGCATTCAGCGCTGCGGGCTTGCAGCCGGGATCACCCCCGCCGTGCCGCGCCTGCAGCCCGTACCCCAGCGGCGGTACGGAGCAGCGGGGAGCGCAGTCACTGCGGCAGTCCATAGGGCAAGAAAATACCGGGTTCTGACACCACGTAAAGGCAATTGCCACTTGGGAACCCTGCCTTGGCAGAGGAAACACAGCTGGGAGAAACCCTGGGGCGCACACAGGCTTTATCAACAAAGCCTGATGCTGTCTTGCAAGCAGTGATCTATACGAGCCCATGGGTGCCCAGTGCTTTATCTGATTCGGGAGGCTCATTAAGGTGATTTTAAACACCTGTACCAGTGAGTGCCAGTGAACAGAGGGAAGGACTCAGCCGCACAGACCCGGCTTCCACGTCACCTTTGGGGCCTGCAGGTGCTGCAGCTGCAGCGATAACGATGAAAGGACACCTGTAATGGGGATTTTAGGCTGCAGCTACTGAAACATTGCAGGTTTGGGTGCACTTTTAGGAGCTAATGTGAATTGCAGCGTGCTTACGTCAGGAGGAGGGTCCCATGGCAGCAATGCTTCCGTGTCTCTATGATTTGGTGCCCCTCCTGCATAATAAAAGCATGATCTGCGAACGCACAGAACAGAGCACGCAGCACTAACGCTGACCTAGGGCCATAAACCACTTGACAAACAGCCATCTTCTCCTTTAAAACAAGGTTATCACAGAGAACTGCTTGAAAACGTGTTAGAGGACCACAGAGGAGAACCAGTCTCAGGTCTGCTGCTTCTCTACCCCAGCCATGTGTTCCATGTAGTGGAGGTAAGTTACATGGATTCTCTGTGCGACCAGGTAACCTTGATGCATCTTTGTACATGTTTAGCTTCTAGATCCAGGGAACTACAGCTCTTCCTAACTAACCCATCTCTGACTCCATACATAGGCTTAAAGACCTGACTAATGCTGGGGGTGTCTCAGGGATCCATCCCACCTCTGGGATTCAGGTAACTGGCCCAGAACATTATCCTGATGGAATGAGATGCCACGTTCTGTCACAACAGGAACAACCTGCTCTGCCCCCAGCGCCTGTGACTGAAAGGGAAAGCCTACGTAAGGTGGATGATGAATTGTTTTATATGCACAGTGAATTTGCAATGGGCAATTCCTTTGCAGGGCTGCAGCAGCACAATCCATCTCATCATCCAAGATTTAGCGGCCCTCCAAAGTCAAGGTTCAAGGTAAGTGTTTCACAGTACTGTAGTACCGGAAGCGGGAGAAGCCTTCTTTAAGGGTCAGCTGAACGTCAGCGATGGTTGTTTCAAGCTTGTCTTCTCCCACTGAATACCTGCTGACCACAGAGGAGCCGAGGTCCTCCCATGCTTTCCTGGATGCAGCTGAGGGGCTGCCAGCAGGCTCCTGCTCAGCCCTCTTGCGCTAGAGCCCATCTCTGAGGCACCAGGACTTCATTAATAGCCTTCAGAACCCAGGAAAATTCCTTTCTTGGGAATCACTGCCATTTCTGGACCCTGCTTTGTAAACAGTTGTGGATTTATGTACTGGAATGCCAGAAATTATCTTTAGACGATTAGTCACTGCCCTCCAGCCTGCTATTTGCCCTTTCACAACAGGACCGAACCACTCCCCCAGAGCTCAGCCGATTCTTGCCTTTAGCTTTGTTGCTGCAGGGCCCTGTGTTAATTGCCCAAAATCCAGGTTCATGAAAACTCCATCTTTTCCTCTGCTGTGAATGGAATTCCTATTGGAACAAACTACTGTCATGTTCCTGCATTTGCTTATTAAATCCCTACTGCTTTTATGCTCATTTCTTCCCCTCGCATCCACTCCAGCCCTTTGGAGGAGTCAGGAAAGGTTTCTGCTGGCTGGGTGGGTGGGAAGCGTGCACCATGCTCTGCATGTACCATCCCCCAGCACAGCCCTAGGAATGAAAACAACTCAGTGCTTAGTTTATGGAAGCTGACCTGCTGATAAGAACGCCGTGCTGTGCTTTCGGATGGAATTCACTCTCTTCCCATGCAGTGCTTTACTCCAGGATATTAAAGTTTTAGTGGTGGCACATGCCATCCCCACCAGACTGTTCCCAGACTGGGTAGTGGCAGTGGCGACATCTCCCGTGACATGGCCATCGAGGACCACCCAGTCACAGTCGACAGCAGAGGTGGTTGCAGGGTGCCTTACCCTCGGGCTCAAGCTGGCAGCCTCCATCCAGAGCTTTGAGGTAAGCTTCCATTAACTGAGCTGTAGGAAAGCCACCTAATTCAGTCCCAAATCCCCCCAAACCACACAAACACGCAGCCCCACTCGCCTTTCAAGCAGCATTTACAAGCACACACACCTGAGCAGACTGGAGCAGCAGTGTTAAAGCATTACAGAACCTCATTGTGTTATCCCAAGTTTCTTTCTAGACCTCTGGGGGGTTATTTCATGCAGCCATTTGATTCACTAATGAACTGCTCCAACACAGCCAAGTCAAAGTCATTCACTCAGCATTACCTAGCATTGTCTCTACCCCTGCTTCCTGCTGGGCACTCCTAGGACCAGAGGACTGAGCTGTGTTTGGTAAATGGGGAGTAACTCCAGCCCTGGTGCTTTGAGCAAATATCCTCAACTTCAACTGCATCATAGCTCTGTGCTGTTATTGTAACTGCATGGAATGTGCTGTTTGGTACCAAGGATGACAGCGAGGATGCGACTGAGAGCATACCCACTGTTGAACAGGAGCTGCTGATCCCAGCAGAGACAATTAACTACTTGTGTAAAGCAGAGGAGTGCACCAGTCCTGAAGAGTTTCTGAGAACTTACTTAGGTCCTTCACAACCCACCCTGGACTCAGGTACCCTGGGGGCAGTTTGGGATCAGCATCAAATTTAGCCACAGAACTAGAAACTGTGGCTCCTAACACTGAATTCTGAGTTACAAGAACTTGGTACCATGCTGGTGCAGTGACACAGGAAAGCCGGTCTGCAGCCAGTAGCGGGCTCATCTTCCCTCTTACGAGCTGTCTGAACAGGGATCAATGGGGCAGCCACCACGATTCAAACTGTGGCATCAAGAAGGCAGTAACAGCAATGTGTCTTGTCGAGGCTTGTATGAAATGCAGTTAAGCCTGAGGTCTAGATTAATAATTTCAATGAAATGTATGATGGAACATTAAGGAACTTACAGGTTAAGTAGATTAATTCAAGTAGTTGTAGAATGTTACCTCAACTGACTGGTTTCCTCTCCCTCTCATTCACAGAAACAGTGTGGCCTGTTCCATCTTATCTCTCCACGTGATACAGGCTGTATCCAGTGTTCCCCTCTGCAGCTGGACTCACTTTTGTTTAACATGAATCTACACGTTAAAGAATACATGCATATTCATTCCCAGTTCCCGGTATGCTTCCATGCCAGTCCTCAGAAGAACAAGACCTGGTGAGCTGCAAAGCCCAGGGAGTGACTGTGTCACCGTCCATGTCCACTGGAAGCCACGTTATTCACAAGCATGAATAAAGATGCCTTCACGTTGACAAAAGACAATCTTTAATTTTATAAATGTTCACCCAGTGAGGAACCCAAAGAGCCATTTTCAAAGGTCTCTCCGAATCCAACCGTTTCCAAGGAAAGCACAAACCCCACTTCCACAGCTGCATCCTGAAACAGTTGCGAGTTTCACATAAACAAAAGCAGGCTTGGTTAATACAAGTAACTATGACATAAGTAGTAAGTACTGATCGTTAAGTAGCAATGAAATGATTAAAGATACAGTGAGTTTCCTTCTACAGTATGACAGTCCTTCAAGGCACTAAAATACATCCACAGTTTTGACCAGGCGACCGATAACCCGCGGTCGCCACCAGCACTCTGGCTTTTTTTGGTTCATGGTTTAAAAAGAATCTGCAGCAAATCAGTGAGGGAATGTCTCTTGCAAGGCAGCTCCTTGTAATGGCTAAGAACTAGGAATAAAAGCCTAACCGTGACATTAAAAAGATTATTTCCGTAATACATGCACTTTAAATAACTAATGTTCTGCTGCTTCTGGAATCTCTGCCAATACCACCTGTATCAGCAGCAATTACGCTTCCTATGCACGTTTCTGCAGTAACTGGTTCCTTCCATGCAGGATTCTGAAAACCACTGTTGAGACACAGATCATTACACTTCTTCTGACTGGCTAAATCCCCATCCCAGCTCTACACAGTCCTGCCACAGCGTCAAAAGAAGCTTTTCACCGTTGGGTTTTCCCACCAGGAGAGGAACCTGTGAGGACTCGGGGAGCTTCCGCTACAGAGCGGTGCTTTCTGTATCATTGTCAATATCGAGCAGGAGGTGGTTGTGCAGCTCTTTGCTCGCTGTCTCCGGGAGAGGCTCTGAAGGAGGGGGTTGAAGTGGTTCTTGGGTACTGGGATTAGAGTCTGCACAAAAAACCAAGAGCAAGTTTAGCAGGCTGGCCAGTGACCTCTCGTCACTGCTGCATTGCTGGGGCATTTCCTTAGGGAGAAAAGGGAAAGGAAAGATCAACAAAGGCTTTTCAAACAGAGGGCTGGCACATGTGTGCACACATGGACACAGAAAGGTTAAGCTAAACTCAAAAGCTCAGGACTTGCTTCTCCTACACACCTTTTTTACTCTGGTACATAGTAAGAGATTCATTCTGAAGAGTGGAAGGCAGTGAGTAGGATTTAGTATCAGATTCCTCCATGCCCCTTATGAGTGATACCTTATTCCAGACTTCCACATCAAAACACTAAGGTCCCTCAGCAAATAAATTTGGCACCTAAATCCTCAGCCACATCACCACCACCTACCACCTTGAGAAGGAACAGCAATATGTGTGGTGTCAAAAGGAGGCACTGCCACAACAGGAGGAAGAAATTACTTAAACCCCTTTCCTGTGTGTAACAGGGAACATCTTTGCCTCTTCTGAGGGGAGGGAGAGGCACTGTGTTCTAACACCTAACAGCACCGGGGGTTACCTTGGATTTTCACTTAAAAGTACCATTCAAAAGGTGTACTCCAGCTTTATGTGCAGGTATTAAAGTTCTCCCTACCACGACTGAAGAATGAATCAGAAGAGTAGGTAACAAAGGGTGAGGAGACCCAGGGGAGGGGATCTGACACAACAGCATAGCTGTCAAATACAAAATGAACCTCTCTATAAACATGGATTTCTAGACAGGATTTCCTGTACACAGAATAAATACAATGTGAAACTGGCCAGTGACAACGTGAACATTGTAGTCTCCAACACTTTTAGTACGTTAATGTAAGAGCGAGCATCAAACAGCCATTCCTGGTGCATGCCACGCTAACGGTAACGCAAGCAAGCAGTGTTACTGGGGACGGGTTAGTAGTGAGCGTGAGCACACACGTGATGATTGTGAATTAGCAACATTTGGGGCCAATCATATGCCTTTTCCTTACCATTTAATTTTCCAATACAGTTCCTACTGAATGCAGGTCAAACATCTAGATTATTTAATAAAACTTTTGATTAGAATATTCTTCTCTAGGCCTTAGCACTTTAACACCATAAATAGAACCTGAGGCATTATTAAAGTCCAGCATGTGGACAAAGGAATTCAACAGTATCCTGAAAACCATGCAGAATTCCTGTTCAGGTACTTCTGGCAACTTGATTTTGGCTTCCATTATTCCCATCTTTTTCAAGGTTAGAATTAAACCCAGCTAATTGTCATTGTGAATTAGGTAAGTCAGTCTGTAGTAAGTGCTGGTATGTGCATGTGTAAATGTTAGAGCAGCTACTCATGTAATATGCAGTGGTGTTAATTCAGAACAAATATTAATCCTTTAAAAGGTGATCCATCTGGAAAAGGTGCTGATCCTGCACTAGTGTGCTGCTGTAGGGAAGCCTGGTATCACTTCAACTGCTCCCCAAGGGGTTATTTTGCAAAACACTTGATTTCCTAGGCTCCTCTACCAGTTTTGCTAGAGGATCCTTTGTCAGCATCTCTCCTGTGCACAGCAGCTGTCATTGCTGTCATTTTACTGTACACAACTTCATGGCCAACTTGCCATGGTTGCACTTCAAAGGAGTGATAGGAAGTCTTTCCAGTTTTAGCACTGGTTAATTTCAACACTGTTGATGTCAGTATTTTTCTATATGCACCCAGCTGTGTGCCTCTTTTTGACCCGTAGCTCAGCTGAAAGGGAGTCAGGGCTACATCCTAACTCTGGACACAGCCTCAGTTGTGCCCATCACTCCTGCCTAGCAGATCCTGCCCTTGTAGAACTTAAATTCCCCCAGCACACCAGCTGGGTGTTGGTCTGAAGGCAGCTGTTTCTCCATTTACACTGGGGGAACCAAACCCTGCTCATCTGCTGGCATTAAAGCAATTTCCTCAGCCAGACAAATTCCCTGATGCTGTCAACCCAGGAAACGTGACTTAGAAATTAAGGTCCTTTCCTTGAAGTTTGACTCATCAGCACAGTTCCCAGTCTTAACTTACAAGTGCTGTAAAGAGCTAGAGCCCAGCCTTATTCCTGAATTCAGCTGGGCAATAAATTGCCCACAAACTGCATTTTAAAGACACTGACAAAAGAACTTCAATCAGGATAAGATCTATTTTAAACAGCAAACCTGCTTTTCAGTTGCTCAAGCAGCAAACTTACTGCCAGCTTCTCCAAATCTAAAACTACTTTCAACTTGACTCTCAATCCTAATTTGTGTCCTTCCTGTAAGCACTCAAATCCTGAGATAACTCAGGAGTGCAGCCTCAACTCTCTGAGCCTGTCATGCAGCTGGTACTTTAGAAAGGCACCATCTCCAACCCATTACAAATGAATAGGAAGATTATTAATGTGCTGTTTGGCAGCTGTGACTGAGCAGACTGGTGCTATTAGTGAGGCTGGAGCTGACAGGATGCACACATGCCAGAAGGCAGATGCTGCTGAGTGCTCTTCTGCAAAGGGGTTTATTCACAAGAACATGTATTTTGCCAAATAAATTCCAAGTAGTTCCAAATAGCTGAAAACCTGAAGTAAAAACTACCTTAAACTGCAATCATAAACCACTCGATTGGAGAAAAACCCATCAGCTTTGGTATTTGCCTGCACTGATGAGAATAAAGCTGTTTTAAAAGGTCACTGCCTCACTTGTGGACACATACTTCCTGTGTGAACTGTTACTCCATTATAGATATTTTCACAACTTAAGGACTACCTTTATGTTCACAGTACTATTAAAATCAAGCAGCTCAGGTCTTAAAATCCCTTCTGAACAGAATGGTATGTAGTAATGAGGTAACACAGAGTTGACAGCACATATTCCAAAGCACATATACAAAATAAAGCTACAAAGAAAAGTATTGCTGTGCAGGAGCATTTGAGCTTGTATTGCATGGTTCTGTAAGTACAAACCTTATTCGCAGTAACCAGCCCCACCTGTGAAGGCATCAGGGGGTAAAGCTGTTAGGCAACAGAATTCATACTTGGCATTCCAATACATTAGTCCTAGTCTAGAGAAGCTGCAGGGCCATTGGAAAGTTTAAACCATTATTAAATGTAAGGTGATTTAAAAGCATTAGTCTCCTACATTTATCATCTCTTCCTTTAGTAATTCCTATAATAAGCAGAGACTCAGCAGAATATGAGATCTACTTTTAACTGTCCTCAGTAGCTACTTCTTTCCCCACCAAGACTTAAATTAACATTAACCCTACCAAACCAGTAACTAAAAGCTTCATGAAGCTCCTGTGAGTAGGAGTTTCTCTTTGTGAATGTCTCACCAAAAGAAGGCTGCATTTAAAATATGAAGGTCAATCTACAAATTAACCCAAGACCCAGAATTCGGTGTATGTGATTCCTCAGCTTCTGGATGTCCAGCTTAAAGCCCATCAGAAGACTTTGTCCTCACAAAGTAAAACGTGCTGCGTTGTATTTTGTCTATTAGAACGTATATCAGTGACCACTTGAGCCATTTTCCTATCTCCTGTATGTGCTATCCTTGTGTATCCTTGGCTACATCCTCTCCCTCCTCCAAATATTTGCTTTTTGGCAACAGCTGTATAAGCATAGTTGAGCCTGCCACGATGCTGAGCCTGGAGAAAGCCCCAGAGAGCCTGTTGCTATAATAGTGCTCTGCTTCCAAAGCAGGAAGGAAAATAAAGCAAGCTGATCTACACTTCCCCCCCAAACCCTTCTGCACAGAATGGGTGGTGGGCATTTTAACTAGAAATGAGTAATTTAGTATTTTAACTGTTACTTGTGCCTCTCAGTCCCTCCCCCTGAGATTTACAGCTACAGGCATCGTTTCCTACATTTCTGCTCCGTGAGGTGGCACTGAACATGAAAGGATCCACTCACCTGTTACAATTTTGGAAGCTGTTTGGGTGGGATTTGCAATAATACCATCTCCAGCCAGCTGAGAAGG